TTCCTGATAACACGGAGTTACAATAATCTAGTCTTGATAAAACTAAGCTATTTACTAGTAAAGCAGTGTACTTAGTATTAGTATTGATTAGATGACGTATTTTACTAATTTGTCTTATTTCTAAATACATGCAGCTGATCAGATGATTTACCTCAGCCGGCATTGCCAAACTGGAATCGGAATAGAAGCCAAGATTCTTAACTTTTCTTGAAAATGCAATTTTTGCATCACCAATTGTCATGTGATCGTGGTCAACCTCATTAACAGACTTTGCACTGCAGAATGACTTTTGATTTATCATCATTTAACATCAATTTGTTTCTGTTCATCCAGTTTTCCACTGACGCAGTACAATTTTCAGCACGATGGACAAGTTCATCTAAGTTGGCAAACATTGTTGAACCATAAATTTGGGTATAATCAGCGTAAACCTAATACTTTAAGTCATACTTAACTATTTCCTTAACAAGTGGTTAACTCACAAGGACTCTTACGGTTTTGAAGTTACCTCTTCCAGTCGCAAGTATCTCTATATCTGTTAAAGATAATTGTGTATCAAAACCTTCATAAATCCAACAACTGAGGCGCACGCCCTTGATTCCCCGCAATGACCCACATTATAATTACGTCTCGCCAAGCACACAGTGCAAATCTGTGTTGTCAACAGCCTTGGCAACTCCCTAAACAACCCACAATCAGTGACGACCTCGTTTTGGAACCGTACTTGAAAAGTCACCACTCAATTCTTTGTATGTGTGTGTGTGTGTGTGTGTGTGTGTGTGTGCTTGTGTTTGTACTCATGTGTATGAGTGGGAATGTGAGTGTGTTGATGAGTGTGTACGCGTGTATGCATTTACCATCCCGCAGCAAATTCCTCTTTGTTCAGATCAACGGATTTTGGCATGAGCAGTGTGAACAGCATGCGGATAAGAAAAGAAACCACACTATTCAACATGCTTCATAAACCACACAAAAGGAAAGAAAATACTAACCAAGGATGCTATAAAGAAAAGATGGGAAAATGTTTTCAAAACTTCTCAACCAATATGTTTGTCACGGACAACAAGGAGAATATTCAAACCAGCATATGTAAAGAAAACTGAACTGAACGCCCATATTGTGCAGAGAAATAAACAAAGCATTTAAAAATAAGCCACAAGAACAAAGCCCTAGGACCAGATGACAACACACAGTAGACGCCATAAGAGCTTGCAGAAACATGCGTGCGGTGACTGAAGTAAATGTTTAATTAACAGAGGCTGGGAACAAAGGAAATACCCAGAAGATTGGCAGAAGGTCATAGTAGTACCGTATAAATAAAAGAAGAAAAACAACAAACATGGTTGTACTACTACTACTACTACTACTACTACTACTACTACTACTACTACTACTACTACTACTACTACTACTACTACTACTACTACTACTTCTTCTACTACTACTACTACTACTACTACTACTACTACTACTACTACTACTACTACTACTACTACTTCTTCTACTACTACTACTACTACTACTACTACTACTACTACTACTACTACTACTACTACTACTACTACTACATACAGAGGAATCTCTTTACTAAGCCATACAGGGAAAGTGGACGAGAAAACAATGGAATGAAGGAAAGGACTTATCGTAGGGAGAAATTTAAGAGCTGTGTTTGGATTCCGTAGAGGAAAAGGCACCGACCAATGTCAGACCTGGACACAAAACAAACAAAATTGCTGCATGCAAGATAAAATGTCTCCGCAAAGCCCTAAACATGACAAGAAATGACAGGCAGAGAAATGAAAATGTACGAACAACTGTTGGCACGGAGTCCTGCCGGCATTTCATAGGGGAAAAAAGAAGAAAACAATAGTCTGGCCACCTGCCACAAATGTCACCCAGCCAGCTGCAGCCCAGAGAGTCAAAAACACAAAGTACCCAGGCTACAAAGGAAGGAGTAGGCCACCAAAAAGATGGAAAGAGGGAGTCAAGGGAACCATGAGTAACTGCAACATCTCAATTCAAAGAGCTGTAGAGTTGACCTTCCTTACAAAACTGCATATCCCCTCGACGTTCAACAACAGAAGAGGAAAAAATGACGGTAAACATTGAAGTAAAAATACGTATCTTTAATGTATATTGATCTTATCTATCCTATAATATGCAAAAGCAATGCAACACCTTTTTATTTTTGGACCGTCGTTCTTCATGATCCCTTCCAGGACTACCCACTCCGGGAGGACGACGTCATCCTGTGCTCCTACCCCAAGTCCGGCTGTCACTGGGTGTGGGAGATCTCCCGACTGCTGATGTCCGGCCGGACAAGTGCAGACAAAGTGGAAAAAGAACACTACATGATGGAAGCCTCCAGTTGTTTCCATTACGGCGATATAGCCGACCTCCCATCGCCCCGACTTCTCAACAACCATGAGGTGAGCCCCAATTAGGTTATAATTTTTTAATAGTCAATGCGTAACTACTTATTGGAAAATGTCACCAGTTGACGAGTAGTTCCGTTAGTATCATCATCATTATCAATATCATTTTGGCACCTCTAGCATTATTGTAATTGATATCGTAGTCCATGTTGTTAACGTTATGGTTTCCCTTTTTTTCAGTTCTTCGAGAACCAGCCCAAAGACATCTTAAAGAAAGGCGTCAAGGTGATCCATGTGTACAGAAACCCCAAAGATGTTGCAGTCTCCTACTTCTACCACCATAATAGGATCCCATCCTATGAATATAGCAACTTGGACTTCTCCAAATATCTGCCCAGGTTGGTTGTTTGTTCATAATTTTATAAAGTTCTGCTTAAATGTAATCAAAATTAATTCTGGGGGAAAAAACGTTTTTTGGTGTGTTTTTTAGAATAGAAGACCAATCCAGTTGAAAATTCAGATAATTGAAGTCCCGAGATCTCACACAAGATGCTGGACGACTTAAGAGCAAATACAAGAACTCAAAATCTTCTGCCAAGTACAAATCAACGCACAAACTTTTGGTATCTCAGTGGTCTTGTGGTTAGGCTCTCGACTCTCAACCCTAATGTCGTGGGTTCGATTTGCGTCAGGGGTCCGACGTTGTATCATCAGGAAAGGCACTTTACACGAATTTTAAACCCTCAACTCAACCAAGGTGTAAATGAGTACCGGTACTTAACTATGGGCAGCGAAAGATTTTATCATGCCAGTTTGTTAGTGTTTTAGCACATGTTATCCGGAGCGTGCACTGTATGCCTCTCGGGAAGCCTTGATTCTTTCTCAGTGTTCTACGGTCTGCTGGGGTAACCTGTCCCCGTCGTTTTATGCTAGAAAAATTCTGAAATTATGCAAACTGATCCCAAAAATGTGAAATTATGCGATTCTGTTTATTTTAACAAAGAATAATAAAGGAAAATAATCAGAAATTATGCCAAAAAATGATCACATTTTGCAAAATTATGCGGGGTGCATAAAACCACGGGGACAGGGTAGCAACAGTTGTGAAGTGCATAGAGCATACTGCAGAGCGTAGAATATGTGCTATTTCAACCCAAATACAGTTTATATTATGTTGTGTTTGTGCAGGTTTGTGGACGGTCTCGTAGACAACAACTGTGTCTTTGACTACATGAGAGACTGGGAGAGAGCCATCAACGAGCAGAAAGATCTCAATGTCTGCGTTATATGTTATGAGAATATGCACGTAAGTACAAGGATTTCGTGAGAAGCAACCCCCCCCCCCCGCCCCCCACCCCCAAAAAAAACTTTCTTTTCTGGGCAAAACATTATGTTAAAAGAAAACAGTCTCTCTTCATATAAAATGTTGATGGGCCCTTTCAAAAAATTATTATTCTTTTTTCAATGCAACAATTTTTGTCTTCATTTTTTTTTAAAGCAATATCTGTGTGGATTTTTAAAAGTAAATTTTTAGTTTCCAAGTCATAGGAGTCACCAAACATTACCGTCCATCTCCTCGCTGCTTACCTAAAAAAAAAAAAGAAAAAAAGTGAGAAAAAAAAACCAACAGAGGATCCCCCCACCTCCTTCAATCGCAAATATCTTGACTTTAATTCAAGACAGATGGATATATTTTTCATCAAAAGCAAGACAATTGAACACACTTTAAGATGATGAGAAAAACTCCACATGCCCAAAACGTGACGAGCGCCTGATTTCACCGTGTTGTGACACATATTATTATTAAAATTCACGCACTCGTGTGATATCTCTCCACTCATCAGGCTGGAAACAAAAAGAGAAGTCAAAACCTAAATCAAAATTATACGAAAAGAGGGCATTCACCCCTGTAGACGCTGAGGTGTGAAACAGCTTGTAGAACTGTGTCAGTTATACTGATTCTTTGGACGTTAGAAATTACCATTAATATTATTGTTAATTATTGTTATTATTATTATTATTATTATTATTATTATTATTATTATTATTATTATTATTATTATTATCATCATTATTATTATCATTAGCATTCTTATGGCAAAGATAACAAAAAGTTTAAGATAATTGTGACATTATGACACATCAACGTTTCTTCTAACAAACGATACCATCGCTGCTATAACAATATTATTACAGGAGAACCCACTAGAAGAGGTTCGAAAACTGGCCAAGTTTTTGGGCAAAGACTACGACGATGAGTTTCTACAGAAAGTGATAAATGCTACTACGATGGAGAACGTTCTCAAACAGAAAGACATGCTGTTCGAAGACAAGTCTGGGCCCATTATGTACCGGAAAGGTAAACTCTGAACTTTGACGTTTGTTACTGAAGTTTTTCGGTACGTGTTCTTGGCATCTGTGGTGCAGCAGCTATAGGCTCTTTGCTGTCACATGCAGAAGAACGTTCCCTTCCAATGTGGGGAAATATGTCTGTCAAAAACAAACAAAAAAGAAGAAAGAAAGTTCCTTTTGTTTGTTTGTTAGACACCGTGTTTTCTTACTAATCATTCACAGTTCGCGTGAGAATTGTAATATGATACAAGCAATGTAAGGTATCAGATTGATAACCTGTTAATGAAGAAGAAGAAGAAGAAGAAGAAGAAGAAGAAGAAGAAGAAGAAGAAGAAGAAAAAGAAGAAGAAGAAGAAGAATTTGCATATCTCACACAATATGCACTGTACAAAGTAGTTCTGTAAAGAATGATTCATTTAGATATCATTATTTCCTTTTCAGGCAAAGTCGGGGACTGGAAAAATCACTTCACGGTGGCTCAGAGCGAATGGTTTGACCACATCACTAGGAGCAGGATGGGAAAATCTAAGGTCTACACATTTAAATATGACATTTGAACTCTGAACCATGAAGAGCATTGTTTGTATTTCTTGATGAGGATTCAACGAAAACTCGGATTCAACAAAAGGAGGTGGATTCCCTGTTTCATTTATTCATTAAAATCAATTTAAAAAAAAATAATAATAACTTGGTTTCTACGAACATATTATAAATCAGCAAGCTCGGATTCAACGAAGTCACTTGCAGGGTGAACAAACACCGTTGACGTGCCTATGCTCATCTTTCTCCCGCAAAGGAGCTATAACTATTCTTGAAAATCACCTGCATCTGCATCGTGAACCATTTTTTGCTTATAAGCTTATTATTTATACATTATACGACAACCCAGCGGCCTGCTTTCATACCAACTCACGGGTTGTTAGCACGCACACGTGTTTAGCGTGTGTGGGGGTCGATGGGACTGCCAACACACGTGTGACACGTGACTATATATATATATGTGTGTGTGTGTGTGTGTGTGTGTGTGCGTGTGTGTGTGTGTGTGTGTGTGTGTGCGTGTGTCTGGGGGGGGGGGGGGGAACGAGGGACCCTGGAGTGGAACATCAGTAGTCAGTAGAGTAGAGATACAAATGTGTCACAGTACGGACAGTTATTTCCCCCCAGCTGCTAATCAATGTTACAATGATAACCTAGTCTTGACATTGATCTACGTAATGAACTGCGCACTGGTCAGTGGAATCAAACATTGCCGTGTGCTAGGCTGTAAACAGCGACACAACTTGTTCGGCAAATAATAAGTCATAGATGACTTCTTCTCTCTCTCCCTCCCTCCCCCCCCCCCCTCTCTCTGTCTCTCTCCCTCTTTCCATCTCTATATATGCCTGTCTGTCTCTGTCTCTTTCCCTGTCTCTGTGCGTCTGTCTCTCTCTCTCTCAATCTCTCTCTGTATGTCTGTCTCTGTCTCTCTCCGTCTGTGTCTCTGTCTGTCTCTCCCTCCCTCCCCCCCTCTCTCTCTCTCTCTTTCTCTCTCATGCGTGTGTGCATGTATGAGTAGTGATAACAATATTATTTTTGGCTCAAAATGAATCAAAAGGGACTTTTTTTTCCTTTTTGGTAAGTGTTTTACGGCGCTCGCTACTGCATAAGGTCAAAAGAGCACGCAGGACTCATTAAACATTTTCAGTTGGTAGGAAATTTTGAATTTTGTTCGGGTGGCGGTCGAAGCCTACACTTATCGATTTTGGACCCCCAAGGGATCTTTAACGTGCGCAACTTGCACACGTGACCTCTGACATTTTTCGCCTTTGTCCGAGAAGGCTAGGTGAGGATCTTTCCTACCAGAAGATCAGGGGTGTGGCTGAAAGACAACAGTAAGTAGGTGCCAAGGAGTAGCAGTAGAAAGGCAGCAGAAAGAGTCAGGAGCCCAGAGGAGGGGGCAACGGAGGTGAAGGAGTGGGGGGGGGGGAGTAGAGACGAAAGCAGACGACAGAACATTGATAGACAGCAGGAAAGGAGGTGAATGGAGACAATTTTAGAGAAGAAAATTTTTCCATCGCTACCTGGATTCGAAACAGGGACCTTTGAATGAGAGGTGAACATTTTAACCTCCAGGCCACGAGAGCCCCCAAACGGGTTTTGAGGTACTAAGATGGTGATGAATCCTGAAAAAAAAAGCATCCCTCTTAACGAAGTTTTTCTCCCTGCCATGGCAATCACTTAATCTTAAAGTTTTAAGCACCAATAGTACTTACAGTCGACTACAGGTGAGTTGATTTGAATGGGGGGGGGGGGGGGTGTGAAAAAAAAGATCAACTCTTCTTACCCCCCCCCCCCCCCCCCCCCCCCAGGCCAACTTATCCAAAGACCATCTTAACCGTTGGGATCTGTTAAGAAGAAGAGGTACTGAGACCCAAGAAAAAGATCAACTTAACCGAAGATCAGCTCAAGCGAGTTCAACACAATTGGAGTCCACTGTAATTTCCTCTGTGGGCAATGACGAAGTGCTTAACTGCTTCACCACAGACGTCGGTGATATAATTTTTGGCTCAAAATGAATCAAACGGGCTTTGACTTTGAGTTACCCAGATGGTGATAAATCCTGCAACAAAATAGCGATTCCCTCATAACGAAGTTTTGCTCCCTGCCACGACATACTCCTAATCTTTAAGCACCAACAGAACTTACTACATTTGTACTTATAGTCGACTACAGAAGAGTTGATATCGCTCGGGGAGTATAAAAAATATCAATCAACTAATCCTATCTTTTTTTCCCCTTCCCCCGCGATATCAACTCATCCTTTATTTTTTTTGTAAAATTTTTACGGCAGTTGCAAAACAAAAAGGTCTTATAAGTGCCGAAGATTAGAGGTGTTACAAGAAAGTAACAAACACAAAAAAGAAGGAGAGATAAGGACGACAGATGCTTGATAGGAAAGAAGCTGAAAACCACAGCGGAACACTCACCAACCACAAAATACAATTATGGGCCATATTAATAGTTGTTAGTTTTTTAGAGTAACATACACAAAAATGAAGGAGCAGACATAAAGACCAGACATTCGATAGGAAAGAAGGAGCAAACCACACCAGGGCACCTGCCAACCACCTTAAGCCCACTAGTGATAAGAAAAAGTGAGGCTGACAGACAAAAGCAACAAAGAAGTATATGTGTAAGTTATAACCAACCCGTGGTACTCTCCAACCACACACGTACTCAACGAACCTCCCACAAGTAAGCAAAAAAGATTTGGACAAAAGTATCGTTGGCAACAGGAAGACAATAATCTATTTAAAAAAACTAGAACAAAAAATCAAAAAACCAAAGACGAATTATTAGCCACTAAAAGGTCGTGCTTTATTAGCATTATCATCTTGTAAAAAAAAAAAATCAAGTAATTGATCAGGAAAGTAAATACTAGCATTTCCACCAAAAAAAATTCATGCTTTAGAAATGGACTCAAGAAACTACGTATACACGTGATATTATAATACATATACTATATCATACAATATGAGTTATTGGGTACGAATGTGAGCGTATGTGTGCACAATAGTTCGCTCATGTCAAAAAGTCCACTAGTAGAAAAAAACACAAATAAAAATAACCAATGTAAAAGCAGATGTCAGGACAAAAAAAAACAACAAAAAAACCCTTACAAAACCCATGCTACGATGTAGGATTCTTTCAATTTCATATAGTTTAAAACTTACTATAAACATTTAACCCCCCCCC